ATATTATAACTAGTTTAGCTTGTTCCAGAGGTAGATCAAATAGCTAAGTGTGTTAGGTCTAACTCTTAGTGTGTGTGTTTTGCTCCGCTCCCCGGTCTGTCACAGCGGGTAGAGCTGCAGGATTTCTGCTTCACACACGTTGCATACCGCTATTTTATTGTCATTTTCAGACACCTTAAAAATACTGCCAGACTGGTGAAGCCATTTTGGCGAGCTTGTTTTTGCCGCGCACAGAGAAAAGTGTCATGTATTTTACATCATCATTTTAAGTCATGCGATCGGCTCTCGCGATCTGCATTTTTAGAGAGCACCGATCGATCGGCAGAGAGTGAGTATAGGCCGATATCGATAGGCGGCCGATCGATCGGAGCATCCCTAATTGTATTATCAACATGCAAAACGTCTTTCTGTTAGAAGAAGTCAAAATTGATTTTCAAACTGTTTTTTCATTGCCCCCGCGTTTCAGGTACTTGTCAACATCTCACAATCATCTACATTGATATTTGACTATTTTAAAAACATAGCTTACGTCCTCATTCAGTGACTTTTGTTACAATCTGTAAATCATTTAAATTATATTCCTTGCCACATACTAAAGCAAAAAAAAAATTGCCAGTGATTGCGTATGACTATGGTGGTTGAATAAATCCAGTATAATTTCAGTATAATACTGCAGCTAAATATTTGATGATACGTTTTTTTAAAGAATAATTGTAAGATTAATCAATAAAAAAGTGAGATGAAGCCCGAATAACCCAGTAATATTATGAATTGCATAAATGACTCTACTTGCTAACTCGCTATTTCTATAAACTTCTTCGTGTGGGTTTCTGTTTGTTGCCATGGATACATGGCATCTAGCCTGTGCTGCTCTCCCAACAGCCTTGCGTGTCCAAAAAAAGCAACCCTTTCTCCTATTTTAGTGGAAAAGGGGGATACAACAGGCAGAAAGGCAACTGCAGCTTCTCTCCAGTTACCATGGCGTTCTGAGCAACAGATTTCTCGGCACCACTGAAGAAGAAATTCCTTCAGCAGGCAGGAAGGCTGATTTGAAAAAAAGGAGGAAGGGATTACTGGAGGCCTTAATTAGGAAGGCAGGGTTTTCCTTGCCTCAATCACATTTTGGGAAGTGGGGGGCGTGGGAAGATGTGAGCAAGTCAAAGGTGTAGGCGTGGTCACACTGTTTTTGTGGAGGTAATTGAGTCAGGCAGCTGTTGACGTGCTCTTAATTGCATGTTTGACATTGTATGAGACTCAAAGGGAATCCTTGGCGATGCTTGAGTGAGTACGATAATGGCTCGAGGAAGAGAAAAGAGTGACGTGAGATTAAAACAGGAGGAGGAGGGCGCAGATGGCTTCTGCATGTTTGTGTAGGAATCAATTTGCACCCGAATTGCTTGTGTGCACTGTTTCGAAACATGCACATTTGCGTAATTTGCAACGACGGTGTTTGTGTTTCCCTGACAACGCGCTGACTTCTTTGTGTACGTACACATTCATGGAGCAGAATCGGCTCCCATTAGGGACGATTGTGTCAGCTTAACCTCCTCATTTTCTTTTGTCATGCTCCCTTGCATCTCATGAACACGCATACATGTGAACAAACACGCATACAGACATTCTAGTCATCTAACATCAGCGGCATCCTAATATCACATTTAAATGCAGGTTGCTGAGGGCACACTCACTCACAGAGGCACAGAGGATGGCATACAGAGGAGGCGTGAAACCCCCTGGGTATAGACACACACTCATAGAAAGAGAGACACAGACACAAATGCACTGCAACATTGCACTCCATCTTATCACAGACATAGAATGCGTACACACACTTTAAGCTCAGAATAAAAAGACGTATCAGACACAACGTACCCACAAAGCTGTATCGCACACTGGGATGTACAATACACTCGCATGTATTACACGTTAACAAGAAACCCCCACAAAGTCAATACAGCACATTGGAAATATCCTCGCATGCATTCGCTGGCACTAGCATACACACACATTAATTGCCGTCTTGGTGTTTCAAAATATGTGTTCCATCAATTAAAGTCAGACAGGCTGAGTTGGGATTATGAATATTTATGAGTTGTTTCCAGGGCGATGTTGCATAACTCGGAAGCTGTTTTATTTTGGTCTCTGTTGGCCCCACATTCAGAGTCATGAATGATAGAATTATAAAATGGATGCACATGCTGTTGTTTGAGGGATAATTAGTTTGAAACGTCTGTCTGTTTCCTGGTCGTCTCGCTCATTCACTTCTCATCGACTTCATGTCACAGTCTCAGTTCGTTGGCTCATGGCTCCCTTTCACATAGTGATTCCTCGTTATTCTCCATATCCTAAACATATTTGTTGCTGTTGCCCACATACTGTGATACAAATGCATGCTGGGAAAGGATGCAGCCCCAATTTAACCTGACCAGGATAAGCGACATTGGCAAATGGATGCTTGATGCATGCTGATCACACATCAACCTTTCCAGTTTCCTCCTCTGCTAGCCCTATTTTTCACAATTTATAAGTCTTCTTCCACATGAACTTATGTTTAGTTATTTTCCTCACTTGCTTGGTACCTTGGTGTCTCACCATGAACCTTAGTTTGTTTGTTCTCCTCATTATGTGTGTATACCGTGTTCTACGATATTTGTAAACATTGCCTATAGTTCGAAGTCACAAGGTCCCCTAAAGTCATGTTTTGCTTGTATATTTCAGTTTTATAATGCATTCTTACAGCACTATCTAGTTGCAAGTGCAAGTCTCTCACCCACCAGTGTCCATGCATGAAAGACCTTTACTTTCACTTCATCAATCATGTGCATTTTGTTGCTCTGTTATTCCACCAAACACTCCCTAACACTCTAATAAAGCTGGCTCAGCTTGCACATTATAGTCTCATCATACCAGAGCTACCAATAAAGACATCTGCTCCTACCTGTTTCCTGATCAGCTGTAACGTTGGACAATGTATGGATGTGCACGAGTGCATGTAAAACACAGGAAAATAAAAGTTCAAATAGAAACCAAAATAATCCACAAGGGCTAAGAGCAGGATGATACAACAGCACACTTCTTAAGAAACAAATAAGACTTAATCAGCAGTTTCGACAATCTCTTTTTGCTCCACAGACGCCATAGTTAGCCATAAACAAACATAATATATAACATTTTAAATACGCTGGCCTAGTTTTGAAGCATTTTTACACACACTGAAAACCATATGTGTAGTAGATATTTGGTTGTCAGGTCTAAATGCTAGTCAAAAAAGTATTTAATATTGCATTTTTTACTTCTAACAACCCACACTGCTGTTCTCTTGGCAGACGACAGATTCACATATGCAGGCGTGTCAAAGGGTACAGCCTGAGTAAAACACACACACACACACACACACACACACACACACACACACACACACACACACACACACACACACACACACACACACACACACACACACACACACACAGCATTGTTTCCTGGAGCTTGTGGCTCTCTGTGGAGGATTGCAGCTGAGTCCACACGGATCACAGCAGGTCGCTGGTTCCTCACACATTTCCTGTGTTTATCACACGGAAGATGATTAATAAACACACTCGCATGTTTGCAGTCAGATGACGCACGCAGTTCAATTCAAGATATCTTGTATATCTATTGTAACTGACATATAAAACATTGAAACACTGTTGAATTGTAAGGGAAACAGTGGCACAAACTGTTGCACATATTCATCCTTAATATGTCATATAATAATTTGAACTATGGCAACTTAAGCAGTTCAACCGGGTTGATAAAAACGTATGGGACTGACTTGTGTCCCTTGTTACATTCTTCCTTATTCCATTCATTTCATTTTAATGTTTTATTGTTTAGTATGTTACCTCGTGCAAGACATTCAAACGTTTTACTCCTAAGCTGCCTGAAGGGGATTAATACAGAGGAAATGACCTAAACATTTAAAGATGAATCGTTATAGAACAGCTGACACAGTGTTTTATTTGGCTATGATTGTATTTGTGTAAACCCACATAACACCATGCAAGATGATTTTTAAATCTCCCTTTAGTTACAGCAGAAGAACAGTACCGTGTCATTGTCCTCCTGTCACCATTGCTCCAGCATCCTGCTGTTTTTGTTTTTCATTACCGACCCATGTCCTCATGGGGTAGAGTAGTTATAGCACCCTGGGGCTTGTTACCACCAAAGATGATGTTCTCATTCTGGCACCGCTTGACTTCTCCTTGTGTTCCTCTGCACCTGCCCTCCTTCCTGGAGCAGATGTAATTGCAGCGTGGTGGAGACTTCAGAGACTTTTTTTGGGTGTGATTTTGTCTTGTTTTCTGCAGCTGTTAATTGCAGAGGATGAGAAACCAGTTTTTTTGGTAAATGGTATCACATTTGATATTCTATAGTTCTTAAGTGTCACAAACTGGGCAGAGGTGTTATTTCACACAGCAAACACATCCTTATTTTCATCTTCAACACAGTCTATCATCTATTTCCCAGAGGTTCAGTGTTTCTTCTGGAAGTTCATTTTTAATTAATTTGAAAAAGAGTAACGGCCCGTCCACACGGCGGCGTGCGTTGAAGCTTCAACTCTTCTGCCCATTCACTTTGAATGGGGTGCCGTCACACTTTGCCGAACTGCATTGTGGGAGCGTCGCTTTGCTCGCGTTGCTCGCTTCAAAAGTTGAGCAATGTTCAACTTTTGAAGCTTCGACGGAAGCGTCAGCCAATCAAATCATATGCCAGTACAAGCTCTAGCCAATCAAACCGCGAGCTTGTGTGTCCGGGGCGGGAGATTCATGTGATTGGTTGTTGGTCGAGCTTCAGACACGCCCGCCGGCAAGCTTCAACGCACGCCGCCGTGTGGACGCTGCGTAAGGCTTGGGGAACACTAGCATCCACTTAGTGGAAGCTTTTGGGCATCTAAACAAAGAATGTGAAAATAATAACAATAGAAAATTCACCTTCTGCATTTTACCTACCCCCCACAGGGAGGAGGAGGAGAGCCTGCGGGACAAGATCCGAGCAGACCACGAGCGAGCACTGCAGGAGGCCAAGGAGAAGCTGAGGAAGTCACGTGAAGAGCTGCAGGCTGAGATTCAGACTGAGAAAAACAAAGTAATGGAGGAACTGAAAAAGAAGGATGCGGGGCCTAAACCTTTGCCTCCCGTCCCCATGCCAAAAGTGGTGGGTGTCAGCGATGGTGAGCCTGCAGAGCCGGACGTCAAGGAGAAACGAGACAAGATCAGAGAGGTAAGAGGCCCTTTGACCGCTCTTTGGATATCCTAGTAGTAAGTGGCTTCTCTGCCATTTTTACTGGGATGTGCTTCTATGGCAGCATTTTGGATCATGCACACTGAAGCCCATCATGGGATTGTGTTTGGTTTCTTTACTGCTTCTTACTGATGGGGCCAGCGACACACTGAGGGACTCTTATTAGTAGGAGTGCAGCAATGAAACACTGTGATAAAACTGCACTTAAACTTAGCTGAAATGAATTAAAGCTGAAGCCAAATACTGATTTTAATATATTGTATTATTCTCAATAAAAGCAAGGTCCTGTATACTGAACCTATTAGCATATTATCCTTCTTTGGTGTTCTTATCATCAGAGCTCTAGACGTTTTAAATCTTTCAACTCGGCAAAAGATCTAATGTAGGAAGCTCTATAAATATGACTTTATAATCAGATCAAGTCTGACGTTCTTGCATCAAAGCTCCATTTAGAACATTAACAAGGGCGACATTTAGGACAAGAACAGAGGAAACAGACGTTTAATATCAAATTACAATCGGTGACAATATGTTCAAGACTCAATGAGAACTATTTAAAAAAAGTGCCACTAATTGCCATCATTATCCTGTAAATTCTGTGTATATAATCTAACCTGTGAGACTTTGTGTGTTGGTGATAGTCCGGCTCATATTACTATATCAGTTTCATCAGTGCTTAATTGACATGTCATTCTTTAAAGCCCATCTCTGGGTAAAAACTCGTAGTCTCACAATTTATTCTTTGGGGAAATTTGAATCCCAGCATTTGTGTGGGAGGACCAGTTTCTGATTGACTATACTGTACGTCTGAATACATTTGTGTTGCTGCTGTCTGTCTCTGCGCCAGCTTTCATTGAAGGCAGCATGGAGCCAGACGGGCCGTGCCTGTGCAGAATGCAGATGGTGCTATCTGTGGTCTCGCTCTCTATAGACACTGAGCCAGCCCCGGCCTATCTCCCTTTCTCTGCTCCTCTCCCTTCTTTCTCTTCCCCCTGCAGGTTCTCCTGCATAATTACCTCATATCGTCTCTCTTGAAACAGCACTTGGAGTCAGAACACTGGCGGTGCAAGGGAGCTGGCCCATTCAGTTACAAAACCGCCTTTGTCTCTAAATGCCCCTTTTGTGTCCTTCATAAATACCATTCAGAAAGAATGCTATACACTCCCAAATGAGCAGGAAAGTAGCAGCTGTATTGGCTACAACTCAGTACACCGCACTCCCCTTTTCCTGATTGCCTCGTGGAAGCAAGGAGAAGTCACAGTCACACACCAGCGTACAATTGTGCCTATGACTGGAGCCTTCTCTGTCTCAAACATCCTCGCTGCACACAGACAGCAAGTCGTTTGCCCTGCATTAGTAAAACCCAGGGAGGAGTATCAGCATACATCTTCTTGTCATCATTTATGTTTCATGTAGACAGTAAGTAGTGTAGTGGTAGTTGTGCAGCCAGTGGGTTACCTTGTTACTTTCCAAGGGACTATACCATCTGTCTGACCTGAAGACTGACACTGTCTTTCATGCAATCGTTTTTTAGGGATGTTTTGGTTCAAAGCTCATCACTGTGAAGGATCAATAATGAATATGTTAACCTTTAAAAGACATGGGCTTGCATGAGGTGAAGAAGCCTTGAGTGCTGGTTATCAATTTGCTATTTTACACTTGTTATTTTGAGGTCATTTTCTTATTTCCTTATATTGGATATTCAGAAACTGACGTGATGCAGGTCTTTCTTCTATGCTAATATCCTACTGTAGAATGTCATTAGAATGCATGCAGATGCACTGATACTCCCTGTAGTACCTAAATGAATATCAATAACGAAATGCATTGACTCAGATGAAGCTTCTAAATATCCCTGCTTTTTGAGCGTGTTCTGGTGATAATGATAAGTAGTTATGAGTCTAAATAACCTCATAACGAGACAATTTGAATTAGGGCTGAACGATGAATCGATTTTAAATCGAAATCGCGATTTTAAATGATGCAATTATCAGATCGCAAAGCCTGCGATTTTTTTGTTTTTTAGTGTAGTTTTTGTTCTTCTTGTGTGTCAGTCATCCACACCAATCAGAAGTGCTGTGCTCCACATGTACCAGTCATTGTTAACCAATCAGAAGTGGCCCATGATAGTAGGTGATAGACAGATTGATCCAATCACCTGCCAAGTATTTTTGCAATACTTTTCCAAAAGGCTTCCAATGGAGCTTTCCTGATGCTTTGGTGAAACAAAGCATCTGAGTCAGGTTAGTAATGCTCCATCACATGTTTCTATTACAGGGTGAATCTTAATCTGAAGCTTGACTTTAAAGCAACCCAACGGAAGTTTCATGTAAGTTTAGTTCTTTCACTCGTAGCTCGGGCTGCGGGGGTGCTAGAGACGGGAGCACGTTGATACGACCTTCCTAGCCGGAGATATGGCCGCATTTTACAACAAACTTCCTTTGGGTCGCTTAAAAACAAATATCGCAAATCGAATCGCAATCGCAATATCTGTCAGAAAAATCGCAATTCTATTATTTCCCCAAATCGTGCAGCCCTAATTTGAATCTCTATTTTAGCATCTTTGTCGTCTTTATCTGCACTGGGATTTGTGAATAAAATAACCGTTGCTGTGGAGAGCAATCGGGGAAATTGCTCGGATCCAGCAGCGCACTTTGCTGCTCTGTGGACCAGCCACTCAGGCCCTTTGTTCGTCCAAAAATAGAAATGAAAGTCCTTTCTATGCCATTAAGATACATATTTTATAGTCTGTACAGAGCACAAGAAACGACTTTTCCCAGCACTTCCATCATTTCACAGCTCTGTGCTCTTTCGCTATTCTGCTAATTACCCGACCCACACATTAGCGGCCATTAAACCTCAGTCTGGAGATGGAGAGCGCTTTAGGGCAATACACGGAAAGAGATGGAATGAATTGAACTATTAACTGTTCCAATACTATTCACCTGGCACATCATGAAGTATTGCTCGCCCAGAGCTGTTGGAGTTAATGACCACAGTTCACATTCAATAAGGTTTGTTCATCAATAATGTTAAAAAAACACTAGTTAGACGAGGCAATTTGTAGATACGGTTATGCAGGAATCAAAAGAACGTTTAATCGAATGGAAGAAGGTAATGCGCCTCTTTGAGTTCTCGTTATTTTCCAATAAACATAATTAACATATGATGTTTTGAAATCTAGTACGTTTTCAGTCGTAGGACAAATATAAAAACTCCCTCAACTTTGGGATTTTAGCCTTTGCAGACCGTTTACATGCACAAAAACATATATAACACACTACAGAAAAGGGAAAGCCAAAAAAGCACAACAGGGCCCCTTTAACTTGCATGTACTGTTCTATTACATTTTAATATGTCAGTGAATCCTCATGTTAAAAAGACGGCAAAATGCTATTCTATTCTCTTGAAGATGGAGGAATACAGAAAGTAAATGAACAACTTTCTTGTGAAGTACGGCACCTACATCAGAACTCAGTTGTCCTCAGTGCAGATTACATAAATAATGTTCCCATGGCAACACACAGCTACAGTTTCATAACGGGCAAGAGAAGGCTTTCTACTTTTTATCTGTGTGTGTGTGTTCTCCCTTCAGAGAATCCAACATCCTTAATGACATATTGCTTGGAAATGACGCAGACTTCCTTCCACTGATTGGTAATTGCAGTTCAGAACCACCACAGACTTTAAAAGGAAGGGAGGAATCTCTCAGTTCAGAGCCTCGTGGCCTACTTTGGCTCGTCTTGAGGCGGTTCAATGTTGGAAAGACGACTTGGCTCTCCATTGGCTCAGCTGTGACTGTTGAGTGATCAGCAAACGATTACCGATTTGCACCTGGCATTGTAGAGAGAGAGCCGTGGACTGTGGCTGTAAAGCCCAGATAAATCGATGGGCAAAGCAGTCCTCTTTAAGTGAGATCTAAATGATGCCGCTATCCAGATGTATCGGCCCATAAAGACACGGAGAAGTTTTCCAATCGAGACGTGGAATATCTACAAAGATGGCCAATGAGTTTCCCCTTCCTCCATCGCTTGTACTTAACCATCTCTTTATTTCTGTTGCATCCTCACTCATCATCTCGCTCACTCACTCTCTACGAAGCCTTGACAGTGCTTGGCAGATGGCCTTGTATGTTGATTGCACACCAGCCCTATACTGTGTGTGTGTGTGTGTGTAGCACAATCGCCTCCAGGGTAGGGCACAGCTCTGCTTTCATTATCCTCCTGCATTCTGTCTCTTTCTAACTCTACCCCATCACTTGCTTGTTCTCCTATCTTGGTCTTTAACCCTTCCTTTCCCTCCCTCTTATCACTCTTTTCTTGTTTTCTCCCTTATGTCGTTCTGACCATCCCTTCTTTCTCTTTCTGTCTGCTGCAGTCCTCCCCCCCCTTCTGTCCTCCTTTAAGCTCAGTGTCATTTGGCAGACTCCTCGAAGGAATATCCCTCATCCGCGGCTCATGAAATCATCTGTTTTTCTAAAGATTGCTGTATTGATTTGTGCTGAGCAATGAGCACTTCTCATCTGCAGACAACACAGTATATATTTGAGTCGAACAGAATGGGCAAGGTTAAACAAAATGTACATCAATGGGCTGGGTGACGAGACATTCCCTGGCTTCGTGATGTTGTTGTTGTTGTTTCACCTTCTTTTAAACATGGGTTGGGTCTGGGCTACAAATAGTTTTTTGCGAGGCAATCATGTTTGTTCCTGTCATGCCTGATGGGCTCGTGTAAGCCGACCTTTTGTAGCATGTCTTATGGAAGGAGGTGACATTTGACAACCAATCCTTTCTGCTAAACCCATAATGTATTTCTATACATTATTTATGGTGCTATATGTCAACTTGGCCCCCAGCTGATTAATGTATTCCTGAATACAGGTGTTAACCTTCAAGAAAGTGGACATGTACACAGGATACGTCTGGTAGTTCGACACCATTATGGTTAATTCAAAGTACTGCTTTTAAATGTGCGAGGTC